TGTCCACGTTGTATGCCCCTTCGTGGATTGTACCTCTAGGAGTGGCATTCACGACGTGGCGGTTATTCATTTTGTCCCATTTTTTTTTTTTTTTTTCCTCCTTTTTTTGCAGAGCTAGCCACGTACCACGTGCAAAGTAGCACCAATTTTTAATTAACAAAAAGAGGTGGTGGCCCCAGTTGGCAATCCCTAACTTGTGCGTACCAACACGTGTGACTCTACTTTTCTCTCTCTTTTTTTGGATAACGAATTGGGATAGGTGTTACTCCGAGGGACATACAAGCACAAGGGGGAGGAGGGGAAGAACAAGCGGATTGGCACTTGCGCTCGAGGAGGAGGAAGAAGGAGAAGAAGAAGACAAACGCGCGTGTCAGTGTAGAGAGACTATTTGAGCAGTGAACCAAGACATAAGTTACTCTGCTTGCTACTCCTCTTTGCCGCTTCTCTTCGCCACTCCTCTTTGCCGCTCCCCTTCGCCACTCCTCTTTGCCCCTTCCCCTCACGATGGCCATCAGAGTTCAGTTCGAAAACTCCAACGAGGTTGGCGTGTTCTCCAGGCTGACAAACTCCTACGCGCTGATCGCCATGGGAGGATCAGAAAACTTCTCCAGTGTCTTCGAATCGGAGTTGTCTCAGCACATTCCCCTCGTGTATACCACCATCGGAGGGACCAAAGTGATTGGAAGAGTCTGCGTGGGAAACAGGAAGGGGTTACTCGTGTCTAGCATATGTACAGACCAGGAGCTCCTCCACTTAAGAAACGCTTTACCAGAAAATGTTAAAATAAAAAGAATCGAGGAGCGCCTTTCAGCATTAGGCAATTGCATAACTGCGAATGATTACGTAGGGTTAATTCACACAGATATAGACAGAGAAACGGAGGAGATAATCCAAGACGTTCTCGACATAGAAGTGTTTCGTACTTCTATCGCGGGTAACTTACTCGTAGGGACATACTCCTATTTTACGAACAATGGGGGACTCATACATGCCATGACATCCTCCCAAGAGATTGAAGAACTCTCAGAACTTTTACAGATCCCTTTAATTACTGGCACGGTTAACAGAGGCAGTGACCTCATCGGGGCTGGCCTGGTCGCGAACGACTGGTCTGCCTTCTGTGGCATGGACACCACTGCCATCGAGCTGAGCTTAATTGAGAAGGTCTTCAAACTCAACAGCATCGAGGACGCCAACATTGAGGACAATTTTAAGTACAAGTCTTCCATCATTCAGACCATGATTTAGTTGAGAAGTGGTGTGCAAAGAAGCCGTGCGATGTGTTGCTCTGACGAGCGGCACAGTACAGTACCCTCCACCGGCCAGACGGACACGGCATATGTCCTATCCCCAATCTTTGTATCTCCTCCCTATGGTTGTCTAATTTTTCCTTTTTTTTTTTTTTTTTTACCCTTCCCAATGGGTATATAATTGCCTACCCCAGCTGCCTCACCAGTCAACCGTCTCGCACGCGCGTGTGCAGGCCAACATGAATGAGAAGCTTCTTCCCTGAGCGATCCTCCACCCCACCCCTGATGGGGAAAAGGGCCTCACCGCGGGGAGGCCCCATGAGGTCGCAAAGTTATCGGGCTGGTCGGTGGCTATCTTTTCCTTTCTCTACTTTGTTACTTTTTTTTTTCTCTATTTTGCTACTTTTTTTTCTCTATTTTGCTTCTTTTTTTTCTCTATTTTGCTTCTTTTTTTTCTCTATTTTGCTTCTTTTTTTTCTCTATTTTGCTTCTTTTTTTTCGCTGTTTTGCTTCTTTTTTTTCTCCTTTTTTTTCCTCCTATGGATCCCCCCTCCGTGTGCTCCATCACACCCCCAAGTTTTATCACCCCTCAGTGGTGAAGAACACAGCAGCCGAACGGAAAAAAAAAATGAACAAAATAAACCCATTTGAATTTCCCTTTGGAATGAAACGAACCAGTCGTTGAGTTAATTATGTTCTTACGGGGGGGAAGCCGCGACGAAGCGGTTAGCGGCGAGGCGGTTTAGCGGGGAAACAGTTGGTACGCTTCGCAGCCGCTTCGCCTCTAACCGCTAATCTGCTAAACCTGGGCGAAGACGAGGCGGACGGGGCAGCCGGCCAGCAGGATCTCCTCGTCGTGCATCTTGTCCGCGAGGCCCTCGTAGTCGGCCTGGGAAGGCAGCACGTTCAGCTCGCGGCGCAGGCACTTCCTAATGTATGCCATCTCACTCACCATGTTGCTGCGGAGCGTTTCGTCTGCAATGTATACGTGCATTTTAACAGGAGAGTTCTGATTTAGGGAAAGGTTCTTTCTCATCTTCTGTACATGGTTGCACAACTCTCTTGCATTGGCCTTGTTTTCTAACTGTTGGTCTGTGCTGAAATCGATGAGGATCGTCACAGATTCGTTACTTATCATGTCTGTGTCTTTGTCTTGGAATGTTGGCTTCATCTGTATAATGATGTCATCCCCCTCCAGGGTCACTCCGTCTAAGGTTATCTTCCCTTCGATCTGGTATTGCCTAATCGATTTGGCATCCATATTTTTTATCTTATTCTGTACCGTCTTCAAATTCGCTCCTAATTTACTTCCCAGCGTTTTGTAATTCGGCACGGCAGTGAAGTCAATGCAGCTGGTGTCATCAGAACAGGACACCTGCAGAACGTTTAGCTCTTCCTTTATGTAGTGCATTATTTGGTCAAATTTTTCGAAGTAATCCTTCGTGGGATGCAGAACGGTAATGCTCTTTAGTGGCTTTTTGCTGGCAACCTTTCTCCTCTCCCGGAGGACTCTTCCCAGGAGGATGACCGTCTTCATTTTTTCGATCAGCTCGATGATTTCGTCGTCAATGGAGTAGTTCTCGTCGACTTGCGGCAGCATGAGGAAGTGCACGCTTTGGTCAGGCGGCGCAGTCTCGGCCGGGTCACTCCCAGATGCTGCTTTGCCCATCGCCTCACTCCTCGCCGCTCCCCTGCGCACCCTTCGCAGCTGCATATATATGTACTCCGTAATGAAGGGCGTGAAGGGGGCCATGAGGACGGTGAATCGGTACAACGTCTTGTACGTGGTGCAGAGGGACTGGAGGCAGTTCTCCTCCCCCAGGGTACCCCTCATTCGATCCCGATTAAGTCGTATGTACCAGTTGGTCAAATTTTCGATAAACTGCAACAGCTTTGGAAGCACATTGTACAATTTGTATGCCTTCATTTCGACGTGCACCAGTTTGGTCAATTTTTGGACACAAGAGAAGATCCATCTATCCATGATGTTTTCATTTTTGTAGAGGCATTCCTCGTTGAAGCAGAACGGTTTCTTATTCAGACATTCATATCGAGTGACCTCCTGTGAGAAGAATCGAAAGCTGTGATAGAATGGGAGGATGAAACTCTTAACCACTTCGTTTACTCCCTTTTCTTGAAATTTCAAATTTTCAGCTCGCACAGCGACGGAGTTAATGAGATAAAGTCTCAAACTGTCTGCTCCATATTTATCCAAAATGTACATAGGGTCAGGATAGTTTTTCAGCCGTTTACTCATTTTCTTTCCATCTGAAGCGAGCACCAGGCCATTACAGATTAGATTCTTAAAAGGAGCCTTATCAAATAACAACGTGCTAATGACAAGGAGAGTGTAAAACCATCCTCTTGTTTGGTCTAACCCTTCCGCGATAAAATCCGCTGGAAAAATTTTGTTGAAGTTTTCCCTTTCTGTGCTAAATGGGTAATGTACCTTAGCATAAGGCATGGAGCCACTCTCAAACCAGCAATCGAACACTTCTGAAATGCGTTTCAGTTTGGGGTAATCCTTCCCCTTAGGATTCTCAATTTCGATGTTATCAATAAAGTGTCTGTGTAAATCGCTTATATTTTTCACTCCGCTGAGCTCTTCCAAATGAGCTATACTTTCCACGCAGACGACAGACTCCATTTTTTCATCTGCCCATATAGGGATGGGGGTCCCCCAGTATCGGTTCCGACTGATACACCAATCCTTCGCATCGGTAATCCAATTGTGGAACTTTTTCTCCTTAATGTGGTAAGGGATCCAATAAGTTGTCTCGTTATTTTTTACGAGCTCCTTTGTCGAGTTGCTCACTCGGATGAACCATGCTGGGATGGCTCTGTAGATCAACGGGGTGTCGCTTCTCCAGCAGAAAGGGTAAGAATGAACAATGGTGTTGTTGCTGAGAAGTCGGTTTTCATTCTTTAAGTATCTCTTTATCACATTATCTGCATCTTTGATATACAGATTCTGCACCATCTCCACTTCGCTAGTGAAGTATCCATTTGCATCGATCGGATCAATGAAAATGGACTTCTCCGGGTCGATCACTCCATTACTTTTGCACACTCTAAAATCGTCCTCTCCATACGTCGGTGCGCAGTGCACTATGCCTGTCCCCGCATCGTCTGTCACGAAGTCGTCTCCGAGGATTCTATATGCCCTCTCTTTAAAATCGTGCTTGTCGTAGAATTGGCTGAAAAGGGGCTTATATCGCAACCCCTTCAGGTACTTCCCCGTGAAGCGGTTCATCAGTCGCAGTTCTTCTACATTCCATTTCAGCTCTTTTAGCACCCACTCCAGTCTGCATTCCGCCACGATCACCACTCGGTTGCTTTTCACGTGATGGAGGCGCAGGTAAGTGAAAGCCTCATTCACGCAGAGCGCCAAGTTGGAGGGCAGCGTCCAGGGGGTGGTGGTCCACGCGAGGATTTCGCTCTGCGAGGGGGAGACACCTCCGGATGCGGAGGTTACTGCGGATTCTGCTTCTACACCTGGTGGACTCGGCCCTAGTACCTGCTCCGTCGCTTTCACCTGGCAGTCCTCCCTCTTCTGAGTGTACAGCACAGCGAACTTCTCCCCCAACCGCTGCTTCGGCTCCTCCACGGCCGGAAAGTCAGACAAAAGGACAAAGCTGACGATAATGCTTGGGTCGGGGGTATCCTTATAATTAAGGTTAAGCTCGAAGTTCGAAATTGGCGTGTTACATTTGCATGAGTAAGGCATCACCTTGAAAGACTTATACACATAATTTCTCTTGTACAGTTCACTGAAAACCCACCACACACTCTCCATAAAGGTGGTATCCATAGTCTTGTAGTCGTTCTTAAAATCAATCCATCTTCCTATCCTCTCCACCGTCTTGACCCACTCGTTGGAGTACTTCAGCACAATGCTTCTACATTTTTCGTTATATACATCGATGCCCATTTTTAGGATATCTTCCTTCTTGTTTATGTTATTTTCTTTCTCAATTTCGTATTCGATGGGCAGCCCGTGACAGTCCCATCCGAACTTCCTCTCCACGGAGAACCCGCACTGGTAGTTGTATCTCGTCACGCAGTCTTTTATGATGCCTGCTAGGAGGTGCCCATAATGTGGGAGCCCCGTGGCAAAGGGAGGACCATCATAAAATATAAACGGCTTTCTACCTTCCGCTAACCTGTTTGACGTATTAAACGCGTCGATGCTCTTCCAGTAGGACAGCACCTTGTGTTCCTCCTCCACGATGTTGGGATTTTCCGAGACCCCCTCGAAGGTTACGTCGGTGCTGAGTGCTCCTTCCATTACTCCCCTATTTACAAAACTCGGGGTGAACTTGGCCTTGTCGCCTCGGGTGCCTCCCCGCCGCTGCATCAGGGTTGCCACTTCGCCGCGTCTCTCCGCGATGTACACGCTGCCTCTTGCCCCGCGCCTGAGCATAAACAATGAGTTCCGAGGGTGCCTCAGCAATGCGCATCGGGGGGAGGGGGGATATAACCCTACACCTGGGGCAGTTGTAGAAGTTATCTCAGCCGTAGAAGTGATCGCAGCTGTCGACAAGGCATTCCCACCGACACCCTTCTTCGCGAGCAGTTGGTAACCTCCGTGGTTTTTTCGCTTCACCGTTTCTGGTATTTACGCTGCGATGTTTTCGCACGAATTTTGAGTTCCTGATTTGGGCCTCTCTATACCAGAACTTTTTATGTGAACGAGCATTTTCCATGTCAGCATTTTTTATGTGAGTATTTTTTACGTCAGCATTTTTCTCGTTTTTCCGTTCCGTTGAGTTGCATTTTTTTTTTTTTTCCTTTCGCGCCGAAAGCAACTCGAAGAGGACGTCTTCGCCGGGAAGGGGCTAGTTAACAGACTGCATAGCCGTGTGCGCAATATGCAATCAGGGGTATGCCTCAGCTCGCGCAAGGAATATGCACTGCTGGTGCCACATTTTGTGGATGAATACATGGGTAAGGCACGGTAGGAAGGCCTTTTTTTTTTTTTTTTTTTTTTTTGCCAGGAGACGGAGTCTCGCTCTGTGTGGCAGTGAGAGTTGCATACCCGGGGACTCGCACATGCCCCTCAGAGTTTTGCAAAAAAAGTTCTGCGCCGCAAAGCAGTTGTACGAGCCACTTGAGCATACGCATCTGAGAAAAGCATTGACGACGCGATAACGCATAAACCTCCTGTGAACACCCTGATTGCAGATTTTTTCAGCCGCGTGCGTGTAACATTTGTTAATCTTAGCCGTAAAACGGAGTTCCTACACATGTATTAGGAAATACTTGCCGTGAGAGGGACGTTATATAAGAAAGAAAAAAATTTGGAGCGTCGCATTAGTGCCTATTCGGCGGTGCCTATTCCAAAGTTTCCGTTTCAAAGTGCGTTTCTTTCCCTCACCGGGTTAACAGCAAAGCGAGCTGCTCTTCCACCCGTTGTGCAGGGCATACGGGCCACACAATCCGTAGAAGCTCTCGAAGCCGCGCAAGGAACACACGCAGCTTATACATTTATGTGGGCGTAGCCCCAGGCAGGCCTTCTCAAGATGAAGCTCTCTGTGCTGGCATCCCTTTTTGCCGTCTCCCTGACGGCGGCTGTGGCGAAGAGGGTTGCTATGAGCAGTAATTTGGTGAGCCTCCCCGCGCCTAGAACGGAGTTGCCATTCGGCCCTATTCTCCGTTCGCTTCCCATTCACTTCGTCGCAACTTCATTTTTTTTCTTTTTCACCTTCGCCACTTCCCCATTTCAGAATTTCCTCACGAGCAACCCGACGCAACTGCAGCGGAGTTCTTCTCAGAGGCTGCGGGCCACAGGTTCGTCATTTTTTTCTGGACCGTCCTAAAGATGCGTTTTCGTCCTATGCATGTTGTGGAGCACACAATGAAAACATGTGACACCAAGCACATGTGTGTATAGCGGGTGCATGTAACTTCGGTGCGACCGGAACATCGCATTAGCCCTGGTTTACCACTACCGTAAAATTTCCCCCCCTTCTTTTCAGAGTACAAACTGGAGAATAAGATTATACGGGGGCCCTTGACTCCTCTGAATGAGTTCGTTTTGATAGAGAAGGATGAGGCGTACGATACAACGGAGGCCGGCGTCTTCATCGGTGACACGGTAATTTAGGCGGTGCGGAGTGGCGCCCAGGTGGTGTATCGCTGCGATGTGCGTCTCCCTAACCGATGATCTCCCTACCCATTTCACCGCTTATGGGATTCGCCGTCTCCCCCCCTTCTGCCTCCCCCGCAGATGCGAAAGAACCAATACATTGGCAAAGTTCTAGGCGTGGGCACCGGAGCTGTCAACACCAAAAATGGGTAAAAACAGAGCGCCGCCCACAGAAGTGCGGAGTAGGGGCGTGCTAGTGACGAGGCACAGTTGGTACACCCCACATAACAGAGGGTGTGTATACACCTCAAAGTGGAGAGTTTCACCTGAGGGGACACCTAAATAAAATGGACACTGCGCAAATAGGCTGAATTTTTAAAAACAAACTGAATTTTAAAAAGAGAATACTATAAAGGCGCAAAGAAGAAAGGCCGTTTTTTTTTTTTTTTTTTTAAATCCCTTTTTCGCTTACCCACTTGTGGGAAGAAAAACGTGGAACAGAAAAGAAAACACAAAAAAAGGAAAAAAAAGGAAAAAAGATCCACAAAAAGGAGTTACCATTACGGATGAGAAACACTGCTGCCCTTTTTTCCCCTCCCCTGATTAATGCCTTCACAAAAATGTAAGCTCCTGGAGAGGCCTATCTCATTACATATATATTTCCCCCCTTTGCCCTGCAGCGAAAGAGTGCCGATAGACATCCAGGTTGGCGACGTTGTGATTTTCAACCCGAGCGATGGATCCAAAGTAAGGCATTGCGGAGGAGCAGTGTGCCATGTGTGGAGGCCCCTCCCCCATGAGAGAGGCAAACGGAACTTCGCTTCCTTCCCAGCCGAACTGCTTCCTCTCCAACCAAGCTTCTTCCTCACCGTTCGCAGCTCAAGTACAACGACAAGGAGTGCCTGCTAATATCCAACGAAGAAATCCTGGCGAAAATCAACGATGCATCCGTGGAGGTGAGACCAGACAATGTTACCCCCTTCTATGATCGCGTCCTTATCAAATTAGTAGATACAAACGCAGCGTCCAACTCTTTAATAATAATGCCTGAGTCCAAGAACGAAAAATCAACAGACGGACTTGTTGTAGCAGTTGGCGATGGTATTTACGACTCCAATAATAACAAAGTGCCAATGGATATACGTGTAAACGACTACATCAAATTTTCTCCCTTCTCCAATGAAAGCTGTGAGTTCACGTATAACGGGGAGAAGTTCACCTTTGTGCGGGCAAGGTATATCATGGCCAAGTATTAAAAGGAAAGATAAATAGATAAAAAAAAATGAGGGAAAAAAAAGGACTTTTTGGCTAGCTGGCTAGCTAAATGTGTTGTTGTTTTTTTTTTTATTTATTTATTCTTCTTTTTTTCCTTAACGCGTCAAGTTGTCCAGATTGACAACTGTTTCGGTGTGGCCTCCCCTCCCCCCACGGGGCTGAGCTCTCCACATGTTTAATTCCCCTCCCAGTTCTGCCTTTTTGAATTGCCCAACCAGGCAGAATTTCCCCCTCACAGACACACCCTCCTGTGTATCTGTGTCCCACGTGCTTGACGTCTATATGCTGCATGTACCTAGGCGTATGTTCTTAATGTCCCCTTTTTAATCATTTTTTTGTTGTCTTGTTTGAAACCTTATGTATGTGGAATAAACATAAACCAGGGGGTCTCCCCTTTTTCTTTCTTTTATAACATACCACGTTAAGTGAAACGGTTCTTCTAAGCGAAGAGGATGCCCCGTCGTCCTTACTTTTTTCTTTCTTGTGTACACCAGGTTTAATTGGTCGTATGGGGATGGAAACAAGGTAGGACACACTCCGTTCGGTGGAATTTCCGAACAAGGGGATAAATCCTCGTCGGTCATTTCGTGCGCATTAAAAAGGTTGACATAGCGTTGGGCGGAAGTGACATCCATCTAAAGATTTGTGAAAAAGGGCAGTTAAATGAAAAGTTTTTTTCACGTGTATACAGTGTTCAATTTTTGGAAAAAAGGCGCCCCACATAGGCTCCAAAAAAACTGATATGAACGATGCGAGTAAGAGGTATAATACACACGGGGTCTCCTCCCTGTGTGCGCATTTTTACCCCACCGAGTTAGCTTACAGCACGGATAGAGGAAATCACAGGGCGCAGTAACCGCAGACTTACCACCGGGTAAAGGCGTGCGCGCTTTATGTCCCCAATGATGTGCAGAATGTCCACCAGAGTATAGTTCTTCATAATTCTCTTTATCTCTTGGTAGTTTTTGCCATACATGGGGGATCCCCCTCGCTCGCATGTCCTGATGTAGTAGTCTATCAGCTCGCATTCTCGCTCATGGATGCTTTCACCTTCGAGATCGTAGGAATGCCCATTTTCGCACCCCTCTGCGTTGACCTCCCGCACGTGATGCATAAAATGAACGGACGCCAACCCGCACAGGGCCTCCTTCAACTCGGGCGACAAATGATAGCCTAAACGTTTGTGGAACTTATCCCCCCGGGTGTTCTCACTCCGTACATAAAACGATTTCGAGTGCAGCTTCTTTACAATCTTTTGTATTTCTTCAAAGTGCACAGATGTGTCTAAATGCGAGACCCACAGATATGTGTGCATCAGCTCGTGGGACATGTAAAAGCAGAATGAAATATCTGGCAAGCAATTAGCTAACGAGAGATGTTCCACCAGTTTTATGTGATCATTATTTTGAGGCAACATCTGATGTAGCTTTAAATCTCTATATCCATAATTTCGTATCATCTTATTCTGCTCATGTAAAAGGAGTAATTTTTTTTGCGACACGATTACACAGTTGCACGATGCTATGGTCTTTTCTGCATCCTCATTTTGCTTGAGCTTGTTCCGTAGGTATAGCACATCAGTATATCTCAGCTCGTTATGTAGAAGCCGTGTGAAGATTTCTTTTTCGTTCGGCTGATTGGAAAAGGAAAGCACCAAATGGAGATCGTACGATTTCGGTGCTGTGGCGGCCGTTTGGGAAGCCGCCTGGGAAGCCGCCTGGGAAGCCGTCTCGCTAGTCGTCTGAGTAACCGCTTTAGAGGCCATCCGAATGGAGAAGCACCTGGAGATCCTCGTCTTGTTCTTCATATCGGCGATTGTATTGTTCTTTTCCTCCTCCACTGTTGCCCTCTTCTTGCGCGAAGGAGTTCTCCCTTGTCTGTCTTCCCCCCTTTCCTTCGTCCGACTTCTCAGCAATTTGATGTAGTCCAAGAGAGACGCCGTTGCCTTCCTGTATAGACTCGAATTTTTTGAAGACACTTTCTTCTTCAATTGGTGATTTTTTCCTTCCCTGCTTCGCTGGTGTGTCTCGTCTAGCTGGTTGTTCCCCTCGGTAGGGGGTAGCTTTGTAGCGGGAGCGACGGGGTGGGAGTCACTTCCTTCCCTTTAGCAGTGCACATAAGGGGATCTCCACCCCTATCTCCCTCTAATACTTTGTTATTTTCTGAGTTGTCATTTTTGGGGGGGCTCGAAAAGTTCACCCTTTGTGCTTCTTCACCTGTTCGTGTGACGTGCTTTTTTATTTTCTTCTTTTTTGGCAAATTCCTCAAATGGGTTAGTTTCCGAAGGGGTGTTTTCATGTCCCTCCTTTGGTTCTGCTCCGATTTGAAGTCTCCTTCTATAATGACTTTGCCCTTTTTCCGATTCGGGGGGTCCCCTCCCCGTGGTGCAACGTCTCTGTGATGCGCTGGCTGTACGCGGTGTACTCGCTCTACTCGCTCCGCTCGTTCTGCCCGGTCTGCTTCCTCTAGTGGCTCTCCCCTCTTCGCACACCCAACGTGGTCATACTCAAACGTGCAGCGATGATTCGCGTCGTTAAACTTTGCCTTGTTAAAGGTGTAAATATTCTGGTAGGTCATAAAATTGCGGGAAACCCTAATCCCCATGTAAAAATCTAGGACGTACAAAATTTCTGGTATGACATCCCCCACTGTTTTCTCGCATCAGATGATGGGAAGCTGGCAACATATGTCACATAAATTATCGTATGTGGATCCACAACAAGGGGTGGTGTAACTTCGTGAGGGGTTCTTTTCCTTTATTTTCCTTTCACAGGAGAGGCAATTCTTCAAATCGGTTTTGCATCGGACAGACATTTTGTATGACTTCCACATGATGTGGTGATACGGCTTTCCATCTGTACTGCCCAAGCAGTAGCAGCAAGTATCTTCCGAGGGAGGATCCATGTCTGTGTTTTTCCATCAAAGATATATAGTATGTGGGTTGTAGCCCCTCACCACAGCTCAGTCGAATATTCGCATGGAGCTTAGGGCAAGACAGATCTATTTACAGTGCCGCCCCATTCACAGAAAGAGGAAGTAAATCACCTCACAGTTAAACTCCATTATAAAGAGAACAACGAAACGCACAATGATAAAAACCTGCTTGTATATTATGTAAAAGCGAACTAGAGGAGACAGACATGCGTATAAGTAGCAAATGCACATGTAGTGACACAGAAGGGCGTAAAGGTGCGGGTACAGGCACAAGAACATGGGGTCGTGCAAGTACCATTTCGCTAAGGGAAGCTCATACATGGTTGACTTTGAAAGGGGGTAAATTCAAAAACGTTTTGGTAAGGCAGGTTCTATCGAGGGGGAAAAAAAGAGGAGGAAAAAAAAAAGCGATGAGAACAAAGCGAAATGGTGAAAGAGGCAGCCACGAAACGGATAAAAATATGTAGCATCCCGCGCAGCGCGACAAAAAAGAAGCACGTAGTTGGAAGAAGTCCTCATGGAAGTTTTCCCCCAAAGCGATGAAACAGGATGTGCAGGGGCAAGCAAGTGTTCAGCTGAGTCCTCTTTTTGCTTCTCTTTCTCAAAAATTTGTGCGCCTGGTTCTCGTATCAGTTCCCTTGTGTGTGCAGGGCGAGGTTGGGAGGTGGCATGTTTTTAAAGGGGGAGAAAATGTTGGCTAAAAAGGCTCGTTGCAAATGTTGGTCGCAAATGTTGCCTACAAATGTTGGTCACAAATGTTGGTCACAAATGTTGGTTGCAAAATTTTACCGCAAGAAGCTGTCGCAAAACGTTGTTGTGCGAACGGACGCAAACAACGGTTGTACAAATGATCGCGCAAGGCGAAGGCACACGCCAGTCGAACTTGTTTGGCAAGACGTGGGGCCGCTGATCCGCCATTGTTGGAAAGCAGGCAGACAGACGAGTAAAGCGCGAAAAAAGCCACGCCTCTGAAAAATTCCTTCGAGGGGGGAAAAAAAAGCTCAGACAGATTAAACAATGAGAGTTCTTTCTCCATGCCGCAATTCTGGTGCGTGTTCTCCATTCACTGTATGTGTATGCAGAGTTGGGTTCCAAAAAAAAAAAAAAAAAAAAAAAAATATAGGAGAGCCCATGTGCATACTGCAGAAAAAAAAGAAAGAAATATTCACCTGAACAGGTAGCGAAAAAAAAAAATAAATAACACATTCACCTGAACAGGTGGCGAAAAAAAAAAAAATCATACATTCACCTGAACAGGTAGCGAAAAAAAGAAAAACAGAAATTCGCCGCCTTTTTATAAGAAGCTATAAATTGTGGACTTATTTCGCCTAGTTAAAAAAAGAGCGAAAGTAACTAACGCAGATGGATGAGGGTATGGGCTTTAAGAAGGAAAATCCCCAAAGCGAAGATGATAATGTGAGATGAGAGAACTCCATTGGGGAAGCTAACACGAGTAACTGACCGAATCGCACGCCGAATTCGTGTCAGAGCGCGCATTCACCGTGTGGCGTTTCAACAGGGGAGGGAGAAAGAATAAAGGGGTCTCTCGACGAAAGAGCTGAACAGTTTTAGGGGAAAATTCAACAAAGCGGAAAGAGATAACAACGCTGAATAAACGGGATTGACCTGCCGGAACAGATGCGCGAGCAGGAGATACCCACAGAGGGGCTACTCCCAGCAGGCGCGCAAAAGAAAAAAAAAAAAAAGAGAGATAAATGACAAAACAGAGGGGAACACACTTATGTCATTCGCAGCGGAGTTGTAAACGATGAAAAGACGACCTGTTCGCATAATGCTCTCCCCGCGATGTTGCTGCATATTGCTTGTGTCACCTTCGTAAGAACAACTTTTGCATAAATAGAAAGAGAGGGAGGAAGAATCAGCGGGTATCGAGCTAATCGATTGGATAAAAATACGCTCTGCGCTGACGTGTAGAGAAGAGACAGCGGAAGCGCTCACATAAGATAGAGCAAAAATAGGGAAACCCATTGGTGAGATGAATGGAGACACCCAGGTTGTACTCCTTACAGATGGCGGACGTAAAAATGGACGGGGACATAAAATATAATTTCTTTTTCCTTTTCTTTTTCTTTTTGTTCTCTCTTCATTACGCCCCCCCCCCACACCAGAATAAGACAAAGAGCTTATTTCGCTTCCCCACTTATTTTTAATAACCTATATGAGGTGTGAAAACTATGAATTATGTTTCGAAACAATTCTGCCTTTTTATTTTATGGGTGATATTACACAAAGCAAGCCCGTACAATTGTCTCATATCAAATTACAACACGGTTAAGGTTTATAGGGACAGGTTGTCCTTCCCCCATTATGACATTTTCAGCAACAAGGGGAATCTACAAAGGGGACAATTTGCTGTAAGGAGGACAAAATGGAAAGGGAGTAAACAACATTTGAGCAGACTCTGTAGCATACAAGTAAGAAGAGAGGATAACAAATCGAAAAATTGTTCCACTTCCCAGAAGTGCTTACTTGAAAATGTAGCGAAGGATTTTAAAAATGCCAGGGGGGGAAGTCTCGAAGGTGGCCTAAGGGATGCACTACAGGGGGACACCCCAAAGAAGTGGACACAGCTAAGCGCACACACAAAGGGTCCAGATAGGAAAAAGCCTAGTCTGCTTGACACTATCAGCCATATGAATTATGCCACAAGTCGGGCAAGGGGAAAAGCGACCAAGCATCAAGTACTCAACTGTCATTCAGACCATCCGAATGAGGAAACTGGAATACCCAATGGTGTGGACCTCCTGCAGAAGGAAAAAAAATATAGCAGACAAATATACACGCACGGATATGAAGAGGAGAAGAAAATTCGTAAGAGTAAAATATTAGTCATCGGCCTAAACGGGGTAAGTAGCGAAATATGCAAAAATTTAATTCTTTGCGGAGTGAAGGAAATAGGAATATATGACAATGACATTTTGAGCGTAGACGATGTAGATAGCCTCTTCTTTTGCGAGGAAAAATTTATAGACAAGGAAAAAAAAAGCATAGCTTGTGTGCAGAACATGTGTAAGCTGAGTGACAACTGCAAAATTGAAGTGGTCACAGATGTTGAAAATGCGATGCAACACTACGACGTAGTTGTGTCAGTAAATCAAAGTGACCAATTTAACATAAAACTGAGTAATCTGTGCAGAAGGGGCAGTGTCAAAGAAGAAAAAAAAAAGTTCATTTGCGTAAATACCGTGGGCCTCTTTGGGCGCATTTTTGTCGACTTTGGACAGTTTGCCTACTCCAATTCGAACAGCAATGGCGAGTCGTACGACATAAGCAAAGTGGAACTCGCGGGCGATGATCAGTTCGTTCTTCATTGTTTGCCCAACTACAGGGACATCCAGATGAGCGAAAAGGATGTCCTAATTCTTCGTGTGCAAAATGGAAATCAGCAGGTGGTGAATATCCCCTGCGAAATTACAGACGTGTGCAAGGGAAGTAACAAAATCCGCGTCATCATTTTGAAGAAGAAAAATGCACTTGACACGCTTGTGGGGTATGTGCTCCCCCTTCGAGTTGTAGATTATTTAGAAAAAAAGAGCCACCATCTCGGTATCCATCTGTTTGAAAAATTGACGAAGATGCTCCAACGAAGAAGCGGCAATCAGTGTGTGCAAGAAATCGTCTTGAAAAATCCCCCCCGAAATATGAGTGTCAAAAAAGTGCCTGAACAGATCAGGTTAAATTATCAAAGTTTGGAGGAATACTTAAACGGTGTGCGGGGAAAACTGGACAGGGGAAGAAGCTCCGCGCTGTGGTCCCTCCTCATGAGGTTGTTTAACCGTCGAAAGGGAGGAGACCAAGTGAGCGACGAAGAGCTGTGCTTTCTATGTTACGAAGAAATGATAAAAAAGAAGAAGGGGAAGAAAATATTCACCCCAGAGGAAATTCAGGCGTTTCAAAACTGGTGTAAAAGAAGAAAAAAAAATATGAACGTTGAGGTAGTAAATCAATTTTGTTCAGCTGCACACATCGAATTGTCTCCATTTTCTGCATTTTTTGGATCTTTGGTGACGCAAGAAATTTTAAAAGGTCTGACGCGCAAATTCAAACCGATTTACCAGACCTTTTTTTTCGACAAGAGAGATTTATTTCCCTTTGCGAAAATTACTCATAAGTATCACGGAAGGTACCTGCATCAGCTGAATTTTTTTGGGCCCCAATTTCAGAAATTTCTGAACGACCTGAACGTTTTGCTGATCGGATCAGGCGCCTTGGGGTGTGAGTTTTTGAAGCTCTTGGCGCTAATGGGGGTTTCCTCGCGTAGGGGCCTATCCCCTGGGGGGCGCATCCAAGTGGTTGATTACGACCTGATTGAGGAATCCAATTTGTCTAGGCAGTTCCTGTTCAGTGCGAAAGACGTGGGGAAGTTGAAGTGCCAAGTGGCTGCAGAGAATGTTAAGAAGTTAAACCCGAATTTGAACTGTGGTTTTCTGAAAATGAAGGTGGATGAGTCCATTTTGCGGAACCGGGGCTTACTTCTGAATTGGTTCTTTTCTCCTTCGAGGAGTAATGACCAAAAAGGGACACATATACGTAATAGTACCAACTGGGGGGGAACTAACGAGAAGGAGAAAATAGAAGAAAGATCGCCTGACAGAAGAAGCACCTCCCCCATTGTGTGCATCCTCTGTTTGGACAATTTCCAAACCAGGGCAGTGTGCGACACATTCTGCGTGATGAACTCCATTCCAGTAGTCGAAGCGGGTATAGAGGGTCTGAAGGGAAGTAGCCAAATAGTTATCCCCTTCTCAAGCGAGACGTACACGAGCAACTCGATCGATGGGCAAGCCGACCAGGATGCAAATAACTCGTGCACCATTACATCCTTCCCCAAACACCCCAAGCATGTAATCCAGTTTGCAAAAAGCGTTTACAATCATTATTTTACCGACAATGTGATCAAAATAAATAACTTTTTGAACGACCCTGTCTCTTTTATTGGCCACCTATGCACCTACGACAACGTGAGAAACTTGCTCCATTTTTTTAAATTAACAAAAATGTATTTCAATCCCAACGTCCACGAGAATGTAGAGCTCCTCTGGAACAACACCTTTGTGAGAAATATTACCCACTTGCTCAAAAAGAACGAAGCAGAATTAGAGAAGTATTTTGAAGAAGTGAAGAAATTGCCAAAGCCGGTTTTCTTCCATCCGGAGAATAAAAATCACTTGCTTTTCTACCAGTGTGCGTTGAAAAATTTCAAAAAAGTTTTCAAAAATTTGATAGACATTTTGGCTAGCCAGAAAAGGAACCAAAGAGGTGTCTTCTTTTTTAAGGATGAGAAAGTGGGGGCATCTAAATGGCCCCCATTTGAGGACGCCATAGGAGAAATTGTGTCGAAGAATGATTTGCGCCTGGATGTTAAGCGTCTGCTGTATTTCCTCTCCGTTATCCGCAGGAACACCGACCGGGAGTTTTACGCCGCTATCCAAAGGGAGCTCTTCGACTTGTTCAACAACCCGGTGTTCCTTTTGGCCCTGCGGTGGGTGCAGCACCGGGGGGGGGAAGAGGCAAAAACGGAAGCAGCAGTGGGGATGGGAAAAGAAGCAGCAGTGGGGATGGGAAAAGAAGCAGCAGTGGGGGGGGGAAAAGAAGAAGCAGAGGGGGTGGACGCAACTGCCCGAGGTGGGCTCTCCGAGGAGGTGAACATGGCATGGAGCGGTATGTTCAACTCTGGTGCCAACTCTGGTCATAACTCCGGTGCCAACTCTGGTGCTAACTCAGCTTCCAATTCCCAGGCTACCCCCTTGGTAAACATTGCGCCTACCGCGCGGGTCCAAGATGATGCCCCCCCCCGCGGCCGGAAAGAAGTCGCGCTGCTCACCCCCCTCATTTGCAACCTTCAGGACGACAAGGACGACATCAACTTTGTCTTCAGCCTGACCAACGTACGCAACGAAAATTACCATTTCCCGCAGATGCCCATCCTGGAGTTCTTTAAAGTGTGCAATAACATCGTGCCGTCCATCGTCACGGTCGTTTCGGCCATTTCTGCTCTGGCGTCCCTCGAGTTGTACAAGCTGGCCCATTTGATGCAATCGCGTGGGAGGGAAGCCCAAATGGCGAGGGGCCAGATGGGAAACTCCCAAGTGGGAAAGTACCAAATGGGGAGAGACCACCCAACGAACCACCCGCCACAGCACGAGGAACCCCCCCCCGAGGACCTAACTCAATTTCGCGAGGAAAAGCTGAAGGACCTAACCATCTGCACGTACGGCAGCAAGGTCTACATTAGGAAAAACGGAAAACTATTGTTCTCCTTTTTTAACGTGCCCTACGAGGAGCTTCAAATCCTCTCAAGCACAGTAAACAATCATTATGTCAATCTGGAGGATAATTTTTTCACCCATTCTCAGCTTAGTAGCGTCTGCCCCGCTCTGTCCTATGAAAACTCACCGTCAGCATTGATGAGGAGATTTCAGTTTTCCGTTTGGAACTATCTCTATGTTGATATTTGTCAGAGAGAAGGAAAGAGGAAGGGCAACGGGGAGTGCCTCGTGGGGAAGTGCGGACTGTCCCTTCGTCTCTTCGACTACCGAGTGGGGGAGCAGCACGTAGAGGGGAGGCTGGCCGAGGCTAGTAGGGCGTTCCGAAGCATGATGAGAGGCGCGAACGACCATGCTTCTGACAGCGCCAAGCCTGCGAACCGTGCGAACTTGGTAACCGACTTGGCAGACTCCATCCTGAAGGACCTCCACACCGTGGCCACCGCATCCGAAGATGAAGCGTCTCTTCACCAGGCATCTATACACATTCGCGACATAAAGAAGAACGTGCATGTAATTATGCAGCAGAGGAGAAACTCAGGAGAGTCGTCCAAGGCGAAGGGGGAAAAGGCACTAGCCGATTTAGCCATCACTTTAAAAGGAGTGAAAAAATATACGGAGCAGATGAGAAGCCAAGCAGAAGCATTTATAAACATGAGGAGGAGTGAAACCAGAGAAGACATCACGTTAGACGAACTGGTGACTACCCTGGAGGTTCTCTTCGGTGTATCCATTCAGACAATTGGGGTGAGGGACAAAATTATGTACACAAAATTTCAGTTGCCCTCTTTTAGACACTCAGGAGGGAGAAGCCTCTCCGTTATTTTACGCGATCTCTTCAAGGCAGATGCCGTTGCAGATGCGGATGCACAGGCGAGTACCTACGTGCTGCATATCTTTGCCACTGACAGTGCGGGGAGGGAAGTCAGCCTGCCCGACGTGCAGGTCAATGTGCACCACCATTGAGGTTGCTTTCCTCAAATGGGTACGAACTGCAGGAGGTAGAGCAGATCCCCCTGCAACGCTCCTGGCTATCGTATTTTCATCCTTTTCATCCTTTTCATCCGTCTGATCCGTCTGATCCGTCTGATCCGTCTGATCCTTTTTTTTGTTACGCACATAGCTTGTTTGCCCTCGTGTGAGGGGTTCCTCAAAGATTATTTTTTTAACGTTTTAATGACATAAAAAAAAAAGAGGAAATTTCGAGGGGGGGGCGACAATCGCGCCATCCTCGTAAAAACGGGGTGGAAAAGTGAAGCGAAAAGGCCAAGGGGAAAATGGGCACAAAAATGGGGAGAAAATTCTCCCATTCTGGTGTTCAGGGAATCTCTGCTGCGTGAAGTGCAGACCCCACCCCGTGTAAACAGGTGTAAAACTGGGCTCAACGAATTCGAAGTGGGCATACGTGGAAGTCTCCCTGCACCGCTACTCTAGCGCTACCCCGCCGCTACTACCCCTGTCATATAATCTTCTTGGAGGTGAAAAACCGCTTGAAGTAGAAATCCTGGATGATCGCGGCTACGATAATAATTAAAATGTTCATGAGGGAGAACCACATCAAGGTGTCATTGAGCTTGTCACTGGACTTCTTCTCATTCTCCTCCGACGCTTTAATCCGTTTCAAATTCAAGTGGAAGTTATTCATTTGGTCAACGATTTGCTTCAAATGCATGGTTGCTTCATTCAGGTGTTCCGATTTGGCTATTTGTGCATAGTCCCTTGCCTCTACGCCGTGCTTTATTTCGAAAAACACATCCAAAATTTTGTTCGTACTGTTATATGCACAGAAGGAGTAGGACGCAGAGTAGAACGTCGTAAAGGCTGTCTTAACATCGTGATCATTAATCGTTTCAAAGATTGGCAACTTTTTCTGGAAGTTAAAAGTCCTTTCGTTTATGTCCATGTCGTATATGAATATAGAGATGGGTGAACTCCTGTTGTCTGTTTTGAATTTCCCTACCACGAGGGTATCTTTGTTAATTGACTCCTTTAAGCATTTGATTTTGTTTGGTCGCACGGTGATGTAAACCTCTAGGGCTCCGGTGAGCAGGCATTGCAGGGTCAGCACCACGAGCAGTGCCACCAGCTGGTCCAGTCGCCTCACCATGGCGAAGCGGTAACTCCAGTGAAGCAGTAACTGCTACGAAGCGGTAAGTGCGGCGAAGTGGTAACTCTGGGGAGGTGACAACTGCTGCGAAGTGGCTACCCTCCTTGGTCGATGCGCTCACAGATGGGCGTGAACCCTTTGGCGACGCGACTTCGCTCCCTCCGATGCCACTCTGCTAGCGCGTCTCTCCGGGAAAACTCCCCCACAGCGGCCCCTTCATAATTCATACACAACGCTTTTATGTCCTTTTTTGATTCTCCTAGGGGGATATACGTGCTGGATTGGCATGTACCAATACAGGCACATATATGTGCAGCCAAAATGGGGGAAATTTTTTTTTTTTTGGCTAACTTGTGCTGACCAATTGGGAGAGAGTCCTCTTTCACCTTTTACTGAAAAAAGAGTTTCGCAAAACGGAAATGGCCACACAAGTGGGGAATCTCCGCAACAATTTTTACCCTGTGAAGAGGAGCTCTTTCATACATGTGCATATATCCCCTGAGGATACATGCCATCGGCGAGGGGTGTCTCTCTATCCCTTGGGGCCCACAAAAACTTGTTGCCAAGGTGGTGAACATATATATAAATGCTTCCTCCACTTGAGTGCAAAAATGTATGAAGGAGAAAATGCAAGAAAAAAAAAATACGCACGAAAAATATGTGGTTAATGTTAACACCCCGCAGAGGACTCGTTTGCCAATCCGTGCCTTTTGTAACTCCCTTCCACCCGTTGGTGCCACTTCCCGCTTCGCCATTCGGAATGACGTGCCCCAAGGGATACTCGGACGTGGGACGCCTCCTCCTCAAGTGCATACATGTCGGCCCCTTCCGCTTCCACGCTGGTACCATTGTCGGGGAAAAAACGTGAAAAATGAGGAGAGGCAGAAAAATGAGAAAGGCGGAAAAGGAAAAACAATCAGAAAAGTATTAAAAAAAAAGTGCTGAAAAAGTTCTGAAAACGCGGAAAGGGAAAACGTGTGAGTGGCCCACTTCGCCGCGAATCATCAAAACGCCAAATGCAGTAAAACATCCAAATTGAAGAGTGGCAAAAGTATGTAAAACGGGCAGCTGCGGGGGTAAACTCTCTTGCAATCACGTTTAACTGCCTACCGGTGGTACCTTGCCCCCTTTTTTAGGATAACCCAAAGGGAGACCGCCACAATATTAGTTAATCACAAGGGGAAAAACAACCCGAGTCCCTTTTTTTTTCTTTTTTTTTTTTCTCTCACCTCTATGACATCCCATTTTGTAATCACGGCAACCTCTACACGGTCATATGTCTTCAAATTGAGTCCGCCCCTAAGGAGATAACCAAGCCCTAGGCGGATAATATAACAATCTACACTTTACCCTTAACAACAAAACAGGGCTAAATTGTAAATTGAGCATCCTAGAGAAGGGAGCCATCTGTCATTTTCTTGATTTACCTCCCAATCGTCCCACCTGGATGTTGCCGAACACGTCGTACAATCGCCCCCCCTTGGCCGACGGAGTGCTACCAACGGTTTTGTTCCCCGAAGCGCAAGCGCCATCAACGGCTTTGATCCCCCCCGAACAAGTGCTGCAAAGGGTGTCCCTTCCCCCTGAAGAGGCGCTACCAAGAGGCTTCCCCCTCCACGGTGTGGTAACGCCCCCAAGGCGAAGAAGTCCAAGGCGAAGAAGCCCAAGTGGTCCCTCCGCCCCACCTAGCCGCGAAACAATGGTGCCCACCCAGAGTGAAGAACAAACTGAGGCTCAAGGACCAAAGAGCCAAGCGAAAATAGTGAATGAGCTGATCGAAAATAAAGACACCATCTGCTCATGGTGCTTTGACGTACTAAAGTATGAATTAAAAAATGAGAAATTCGATAAAGCCCCCCCGCTGATCCAGTCACTACATAAAAGCCGGTTCAAGATCCCCTTCTTCGTCAAATGGATGAAGCTCAATGACGTGAAAGACATGGGGTCCTATGATTACGATGCGTACGAACTAAACGGCTGTATAGGCTGCTTAAACGAAACAGATATAATGGAGCTGCGTTATTATGCTTTAGAGAGCTCCCTCAACGACACAAGATTTTATCCCATCACGTTACAAGATTTTCCTTTCCTGATTGTCACCATAACGTATTTATTTAACTTTGAAAAATGTGCACATGTTTACGACTGGGTCATTGGAAAGCATGGAATTAAAATCAGCTTTGTCGCCAACGGTAGGAGGTACTCGTCGACGTTCTTGCCGGAAGTCGCTTCACAGCATAACTTCGACCACCAAACGACCGTGAAAAAATTGATTAGGAAGGCAAACTATAGGGGCGAAATCAACGATGAGCTTTTGGAGAACATACAGGTGGAGCGCTACGAGGGGGTCAGCTGCAGCCTCACCCATGTGGACTATGAGAGGGTGAAGCGGAGGTAAGCGGGGATCACCAGTGAGATGAAGTGGCGATAAGAAATAGTCTGCGACGCACTCTGCGCAGCAACAGTGGAGCTACAAATCAAACGGTATAGGACACCCGTGCTCCCTGCGCATGGGTAACTCTGTGCACCTTGGCCAAAGGACGAATCAGCAAAGTGTAGAAATTGGCCTGAACGGTGAACCATCTTTTCTCCCCCTGCTGCTTAACTTTTTTTTATGTACAAAATGTTTGCTCGCCCGTTCGCACTTTTCTTCAAATTTGTTTTCCTTTCTTTTCTCAAAAGAACTCCCCCTCCGGGTGTGTAAATCCGAGATGAATGAGTTAAAAGGGAAGCTTCCAACTTGGGTCATCATAACCTTCTGATTGGACGTTGCCAGATAAATTGGGCCACGTTGTGAACCCCCCTCGGTGTAAAAGTCGTCCCCTCTCGTGAAACAAGGAAAAACGGGGTACACACATTTATGCATTTTTTGTAGCACTACTGGCCCACCACTTCTTAATCATATAAAAAATGTGCTCCTTAATGGGCAAGCCAATACTCATTCCATTTTTGCCTGAACAGGCAAGGCAATTTCGTAGTAAAAATAGAATAAAAAAAAAAAAAAAATAGCTAGCTGAGTTGGTAGAAAGCGTAAAGCTGACCACTACCTCAGTGCACAAAGCGGCGACGGAACATTGAACAGCTTCTATCCATGAACAACAAACCTAGGGAAGCGAAAGATCTTCCAAAGGAAAAAAGCTCGAGGGAGGACTATCAATTAAATTTTAAAAAGTTCCTATATTGTGAGTATACCATCGTCGGTGTAAGGCATAATTGGAGAAACTTCTCCTTTCCTTTGTTTGTTTTTTTTTGTTTTTTTTCTTTCCCCATTTTTACATGAACATAATTAAGAAAGAGTTGACACATTTCCCCTGTTTTTTAAGAAGATGGTTACATAACAACCGCAAGGATACACGTCAAGTGTCGAGTCGGAGGAGCATCGAACCATGTTTGAGTGAAGTGAAGAGGAAGGGATGCGACGTAAACGTCTTGAGCTTGGTAATAAGTAACAACAACCTGTGCTACTGCCTGCTGAGGAATAAAATTATTAAAAAAATTGGACTGATTAACATTAAGAAGGACTTCCAGCCCTATGAGCAGGGCCCCTCCAGCACTCCAAAGCGAAAGAACAACCTCGACAAGGAGGAGTTAACATACAGCTATGACCGAGAGGACACGCCTCTGAGCTTTAACATACGGGAAATTCTGACCGTTTTGAATTTGGTCAAGTTGCATTCCGATGAGGATGGGCAGCACGGCGAGAGAGCTAGCGGTAGCGGCAACGGTGGAGTCTACGATAGTGCTAGCGGTAGCTCTGCTGAGTGGAGCCAGCCGGGGGACCCGCCAGACGGCGCACACATAGGAGGGGCCAAAGGGGGGGAAGAACAGCAGCAGCAACCGCAACAATCGCAACCACAACGGCAAGCGCAAGAATGGATCATCGGGATCGAGAAGGTGAATGATAAGTATGAGAAGAACAGAACAAAGGAAAAGATCCTGTCCATCCTCGTGTACTTCCTGAACTCAATATTCAAGTGCCAAATTGTTTTTTTCTGTCCTAAAGAGGCGAGAAAATACTTCAGCACCAAATGTAGCTGTACCTTGGAGACGCGCGAAGAAACGTATAAGTACATAAAGGACAAGGTGCGGAATTTCCCAAGTGTGAGTAGTAAAAGTGATAACAAGGTCAACTGCCTATTCAGTGACAGCTACGTCATGGCGTTTTATACGTACAGGTATTACATGCACCACCTAGTGAAGAACAACCGAACAGTTTTTAACTACCTCGAAAGTGAAGTGCGCAGGAATAGGAGCTTTAATAACATTCTACAGAGCTTGAAGCGCGTGGAAAATGATGAGTCCTCGCACGACTTGAGGGAACTGCTCAGGGACAGAATTGGCCGCATCGTGGACCGCGAGTCTTACAGGTTAGTTGACAGGGACATGGTTTGAGCGGCGAGGTAAGCGGGCAGATAAGCGGAAAGCTAAGTGGCTAGCTAAACGGCTAGCTAAACGGCGAAATAACCGGCAAACCGGCATGGCGATGCCACGGGTCCGACAGATTGCGCCGCTTATCTCAACTCTTTCCCCAACGGACTGTCCCCTAAAGCACCACTTTCTACAAAGACAAAATGGAAAGACGTTTTTTTACAAATTAGCCTACCGTACAAATGCGGGGCTATATGGCCAGATTGGCGAGTTCCCTCCTGGGGAGAGGGAGTTTAAAAGAGGAGGTTCGCGCGGTAAAGCGGAGCCCGCAACTAAGCTAAGCGTCTTGCAATGCGTTCCGCTCATTACCGTGCATGAGCGCGCCATACCACTTTTACCAGTGGACCAACTGGTAGGGCCCAAAAAGTGGGAAAACAAAAACTGAGCAGATATATACACAGGGGTAGGCACAAACAAATGAAAACGCAAAAAGTCGTAAGAGAGACTTCTCAACGTGAAGACAAATAAGTTTACCCGCAGAGGGTGGGGACGCCCATGAGGTGGAGGGTATAGAGGCATACGGGCATAGGGGCCCACGTCTGCACCAAACTTTAGTCGGCATATTTCTTCGTGTCAGCCACACTAATCAGCGTGCAGTCAATATTTTGGGGGACACAGAGAAGCAACACGATGTCGCTCTGTGGAGTGTACAAGGCACGCACGTTCAAAATGTTTTTCCTTTTTAGATTCTTCAGTGATTGGAAAGACAGCTGTAAAAGATCCGTGCTGACGGGACCTTTCTCGTGTCTGGGCTCTTCTTCGCTGTGTTGTCCTCCCGTTAGTGCCTTGTGACGTTTTAAGGCGTCATACGTAGGAACGGGATGAGCAGCATCCAACCGATTAGCAGCGTCCAACCGATCAGAAGCATCCAACTGATGCAGCGCTTCGCCCCGCCTGCGCTCCCGCCTCATTTCGCGCAGGAGAATATTGTACAGATTTGCATCCTCAAAGTACAGCTGCTTCGTATTGAGGAAGTTGTAGCGAAAATCGAGCGACGACAGGTAGTACTGCTCGAGCTCGTCTGTATTGTTCTTGGAGGCATCTTCTACATTTGTCAACTGGACGTCGATGGCGAGGTCGTTAAATATGTTGAGCCCGACTAGCCCCATTTGGTCGCAGCTCCGCAGCAGGAGGCAGTACTTGCTCTGAAATGGCGCAGGATGGGGCGGTGTCCATGACAGTGTACGGTTGGCCGCCTCCACCTGCTGAGAGCATTCATGGTCTCCTACGTTCCTCTCTCCCGTCTCTTCACTGTGCTGCTGCTCCTCCTCCCTGCGTTCTACTCTCCCCCCACGGAGACACAAATCGATCAGGGAGACATCCCTGTACTTTGAGAGCTGATAATTTCTTACAAGCTGACTCTTTAAGAAGGATAAACTGCCCGTCCCGTAATACAAAGAATATATGTACACAAAATTGTCCAGCGTAAAAATGAACAAGAGGTTCTCAATGACGATGGAAAATAAGTAGCTCCGGTGGATGTTCCTCCTGCTTAAATTAAAGTCGACGATTTTTAAACATCTTTTAAGATACTTCTCACCATTTTTGAAAAATAAAAAAACATTTTTCTTCCCATCTGTGGATATGATTAGATTCCCATTGTTGTATTTCTTAAAATTGCAGAGAATTCTGTCCACTTCAATTTCTTCCATCACTTGTTTCATTTCGATGTTGTAAATGGCCACATGGTAGGTATACAAATTTTCTACTCCGTTCTGATCTGTGTCCATCTCGTCATCCTGCACATGTTCATACAATTCGTACATCTCCTGGCTGTTGTCTTCCCCCCCCGGGATGGGTTTCTCCCGTACAGCGTCCTCCTTCTTCTCACCCTTCTTCAGACCATTCTCGTTGACGTGACACCTCGCAAAGGAAAGAATCACCAAATCGTCATCAAGAAAGTCAAATGAGTATACTTTAAACGCGGACAACTTCGAAAGGTCATAGTTGTATATAGTTAGGTCGTCTATATTGAAGTGATAAATGGAGAGCTTCCTATTCGTTCTGCAGGCAATTTTCGTCGCGCCGTCATTTACAATGCAGCAGTTAACAAACTCGTTCTTTCCGTAGGAAATGTTGGCGATGTGTTTGTAGTTGACTGCGCTGATTTTTTCCATGTCCTTGGGAGCGATCAGCCCAGCATGCGGTGAAGAAGTCGTCCCGCTGCTTCTCCCTCCACTGCTGCCCCCTGCACTGCCTCTCCCCCCCACGCATATAGAACTATCATTGTAGTGAATCTTTATCCCCCAAGCGTGCGAACAAAAAACCGTCTTCAGATTGGCCGAAAAGTATACATTCCTGTTCAGCTCAGCGTTTCCAATTTCAAAGTATCTGCTGATCTGGTTGAACGTATCGTGGAGACAGAAGCACATATCGTCACTTATGCTAACTATGACATTTCCCTTCACCAGGATGATGCGTTTTATATCTGAAATGTGGGAGGCCTTCTTATTAATGCGATACCACTTTTTATTTAGCTCCTTCGTTTCTTTCACTTTGTGGAGGAAGAACTGTTCCTCTTCTTCGCGGTTCCCTCTATTGACTCCTGAGTAGTGGGCTGTTACTGTATCTCCATTCATCTTGCTACTAATCATTTGGGCGCTCCTCTTCCCAGTCATCGCTACCTCCCGTCTGATGTTTACATTTGAGGAAGCCCTTCCTCCTCCACCTTGTATACACGTCCGGGCGTATTTAATTATATACCTGTCTACCCCTGCCGTGAAAATATAATCCTCATTTAGCGTCTTCGCCAAGGATACCGACTTGTACAGGTGATGATTAAAAAAGTATTTTACGCTGAACGTGCTGTTGTCAAAGATGGTTAGGGAGCCACTGTTATCCACGCACACCACTTCGTCTGTTTTGTATACGTAGAGGACGTCCCAAATGATGCAGCTCTCATTGACGCCCTTGAATTCCCCCTCACAGAGCTTCCTCGTGATGTTATATTTGTAGATTTTGGAGTCTTCGCTCCCCAGCAGTACGTAGTGGTTGTAGCTATGGTACGACTTTTCCAGTTGCTTGATTTTGTTCCTCCGGGGGCGGGTCCCCTCACTGCGGTCATGGGTTCTGTAGTGGTAGTCTTCCCCATGGTCGCTTTGGTCGTCCTCTTCGCTTCCCACATGGCCACTTCCCACCTCCTCGCCAACCGCCTTGCTTTTCTTCCCCCCCTGCACACTGCTTAGCAGCACCTCCATGTTTTTCAGCTCATCCACAAAGTACAGGCAAACTAACTTTTCCCTGCACTTGAATCGGTTCGTAATGAATAAGTTAAACGTCTCACCAGTTTGATTTTTATTGTCCCTTTTTCGGGTTTGGGGGGAGAATACGTGCCACGCCTTTGGGGCCAGCGCAGGGGCGCTCTCTGCGTCTTCTCCATGCGATAAGACATCCTCTGCGTCCTCCCCCTGCGACGAGGCGTCCTCGTCTTCCAGATACTGGGAGAGATCGTTGGACATTTTGATTCTTTTGCCCGGTCGCTCCTGCGCATCGTCGTCGCAGGGAGGGTTAGCACGGCTATGTGCATCGTCGCTGCGGTTGCGAAGGTAGCTACCATCACTGCCGTCGCTACTGTCACTGTTATATGCATCATCGCTTACATCTCTCACGTGGCTCAGGTCGCCCGCATCCCCGCTAACCGCCGCACCCCCCTCGTGGAAGCGGTCGAAACAGTTGTAGATCCGGCTGCCCGCGGTGCTGTATATATTGTAGAGGTAGAAGTAGCCATCCAAATTGGTGGTGCCGAAGTATTGAAGGCTATTGTTTAGTTTGGCACAGGAGATGCTCCCGTTGCTCGAGATGCTTTGCAGTCGATTCTGGTTTTCCAAATCGTACAGAACGATCTCACCACAGAGAGTCGTAATGGCGAGAACGTAGTCTTTGTATTCGTTGGCCATAAACAAATGCTTCTTCTTCCGATTCTTTTTGCTAATCCATATGATGGACATGATAGAGCTCTTCGACACATGTGCATGCAGCTGCAGCAGGTAAAGAAACTCGTTCTTAAAAATTCTGTATACATATATAACCCCAAAGGAGTCGCATATGCATATGTATTTCCGACAGGGAGATGTTTCTATGGTTCTAAGTTCTTTGCTTTCATAGTCATAGAATTTAAATTCCGTTAGGTTCATGCTTAGTTGTTGCTTATGCTTATCATTTGTTCTTCGGTACAGATTTTTGATGATCCTCTGTGCCCCCCGGGGCCCGTCACTGGTGCGGTGAATCGTCGTCATTTCGGAAGGCTCTTAGTACGCACGGGGGGCTCCTCCTAGGTATGCCTCCACCGGGGTGGTTATTGTGCGCCTTTCCTTATGGGGGAGCGCTTTCACTATGTAGGGAATCCTTACATGTAAGCCTTACATGTACGTGTACACTTGGGGTGTATTCTTTTTTTCCCTTGTTTGGTTGCCTTCTCCGAGTCGCTCGCTGGCCATGCAACAGCAAAGGGGGGGACAGTAAGGCTTCTCCCCGTGGAGAGATATAAACACTCCCTACCCACTTGGTTTCCACGTCATGTCACGAGTGAGGGTCAAATGTATACATAAATGAGATCGCCCATTTGAGCATTCCTCAAATCCGCGTTCAGCATAGGCATACAAGGCGGAGAGTGACAACGGGGTTGCAACATACGCTCGTCGCAAAGTTGTGTTTTCTTTTCTTTTTTTTTTTTTTTTTTTCTCAAAATGGGAAAACACCTGTGGAAAATTCACTTCTTCCTCCTGCACTCTGCTCTGCTTTGGATAACAAACTCGCGGAAGTTTAAAAAAAAAAAAAAACTTGTAAAACAAATTTCTACCATGTTGATTCATCCTAGGTGGTTAATTTGGGGAGTGTTTCCTTCTTTTTGGAGTGCCTCCTCTGTCAACACGTTCGAAAAAGAAAAAAAAAAAACAGCGGTGCGAAAAGGATTACTCAAAAAGTATATATCTATATAGGCAACCACTTTGTGCATGTATCGAATGGCTTGTTAATGCTGCCCCTGTATTTTACCAAATATGCCCTCCGCAGCTGGTACATTTTTACCCACAGCGGAAAAGAGGCAAATGAAAGATTTCCTTTTTCAGCACAGAGATGACGGTATTCAAAAAGGGGAAAGAAAAAAAAAAAAAAAAAAAGATGCATGGCTGGCTGGTCGGCTGAACAGCTACCAAGCTTTGGCCACAATGAGGTATCGCGTCTCTTTGCTTACAAAAAAAAGTGGTGAAAATAAAAAAATAAAAAAATGGGCCAAACAAGCGGCTATTCTCTCGTCATTGTCATCTGCGCAGGGTTACCTTTCTTGCCGTTATAATTTTCCACTGGGCTATGAAGTGGAGCTACATATTTAACCGCTCCGCCGCCCCTCCTTTTTACAACAATAACGGGAGAAGCAAAAAAAACGGAACAACGTAGAACGAAACGTACGGCAAGGAAGCGACAAAAAAAAAAAAAAAAAAAGCGGGAAGGGGGGTAACCCAATTAAATTACTACAGAACTGATAAAAGGGACATCCATATTTGGGAATTCTCGTGCGTAGCGCTTCTTCCCCTTTTTTTTTTCTTTTTACACGCCTCCTTTTTATGTGCTTCTCATTCTGTCAATCGCGGCCGCGGATACGGCGAGCCAAGTGGATGTCCTTAGGCATGAGGGTGACCCGGTTTGCGTGAAGTGAACACAAGTAAGCATCTTCGAAAAGACTGACGAGGTAGGCCTCCGATGCGGTTTGCAGTGCCAACAGGGCCTCGGGGGTGTAACGCAGTTGCTCATTGGGCAATTCAAACAACCGAGTAATCTCCTTTACCACTCGCACAAAAGGGATTTTTGGAATAAGCAACTGTGTTGTCCCTTGGTATGCTCGTATTTCCTTTAATGCTAGTACACCTGGTCTGTATCTATGAGGCCTTCTAATTCGAGCTGTCTTCTTCATTCCTTTTTGTGAAATTTGACTGAGAGTTCCTTTGCCTATTGCGGCGTTTTTACTCGTTCTGGACGAGGCGACATGCTTATGTGATGGTCTGCTGGGTGCCGTCTTGTTCGTCGATTCGTTGCTCAAGGGGTTGTGCGTGGGTACGCTCTTTTTCGTTCGCACCATTTTGTCCTCGTCCGGCGGTAACAGCGGTAGCAGTCGTAGAAGCGGTATCAGAAGTAGCAGCGTGTGTTGCAACGTTCACGCCGGTGTGCCTCCTTCGCTGTGACCACCAATTGGGTCAAACTTCCAGCGCGCCCCTTCCCCGTGCGGTTTGGCTCGTTGGCGGGATGGCCTTTTGAACGCTCACCAGTGCGCAGATCGGACTTTTTCAGATCGCACTGCACGGTTGGGCGTTCACCACGAATGGTTCACCACTGACAGCAGGAGATTTTCTCATTTCTGACGCTCCACTTTTCGGAGTCAGATTATACCTTCCTCTGGTCGGGCGACAATTTCGCCCCGGTTTGCTGCGCTCGCTTGGCGAAGCTTGAACGGTTTGAAGATACCCACCAAAAAAAAAATGAAATGGGATAAAATGAAAAAAAATGAGATAAAATGAAATAAAATGAGATAAAAAAAAATGGAATAAAATAAACTGTTTCGCAAACGGGATGAACTGAACACTTTTGCTTAATTTTAATAACGTTTCGTTGCTGCCATTTGGAGGTGGTGCAAGCGAGCGGGGAATTTATTTTCCTCCCCCGTTTTTCATTTTTTTTTGCTCACTTTTTTTGCCATTTTTTTCCCCCATTTTTTTTTCCCGCCATTTTCCCCATTTCGAACTGTAGCGCAGTAACGCGAATTGGGGAATACCCACAGGGGAAGTTGGGGGGAGCTACGTAAACCGACAGGTGGAAAAAGTAACAGAGGATTATCCACCAACACAGATGAGCGTATAGGGGTGTGCACATTCTGTTGAAATGGACATCGTTCGACGGAGTGTTGTGCGTAGCCTGGCGTTGTTTCGAGTTGTCCCTCCTGAGGGTCACTTGGCTGTCCGACTCGGTTAAAACACACGGTGTGAAGAGACCCATAGAGTGTACTCCCCCTCCCCACACCCTCCGCATTACATGGGGGCTCTCTACATAGGCCATCATTTGAACCGTAGTTATGTTTATTCCGATGCAGACCAACCTGTCGTGCGTCATTTTTTTGCCCCCTTTTTTTTGTGGGGCAGCATTCAAGGGAGGGATGTCAACACAGACTTTTGGTCAGCAGTTCGGCCGATGGAAAAGGTTAGGCAAAATGAACTAAGTTGTTGCATTCCCCACAGGAAGAGATAGACATTCTGCCTCTTTTCCATCCTGTCCTTTTGTTTAATGTTCCCATGCTGGAAGGCCACTCGGGTATCCACTTGCAAACGCGTTGCCCTTGCACGATGTAAGATGCCAAACGAAAACGAAAGATAAGCCTCTACGGTTAGAACTTCTGAAGAACTATGAGGATGCTTCCATTTGAGCGAAGAGAAAAAGGAACGCAGAAAAAAAAGGGAAAGGAAAAAAAAAGGAATAATCGTTTTGCTTCGAAGTATGGTGTATATGCCACAAAATAGTGCAGCACTTTGGGAAAAGAATTTTCTAGAGAAGTTTTTTTTTAGGGCAGGCCTTTTTTTTAGTGACTCGTCTTGGGTGCGTTTTCCCCCGTCGTCTGCATCTTCAAGCAGAATTTTTTTTTTTTTTTCTTAAACACCAGAGTTGCTATCCCTCTGCTGTTGTCGCTGCTGTTGTCACTATTGATCTTTTTTTTTTTTTTTCTGGAATGCCCCCTCCGTTTTACATTCGCACAAGTTAGCCAAGTAAGATAAAAACAAAACGCATCAGAGGAAAGAGCCCGCATAATATCCACAGATCGCTGATCCGTTGCTTTCTTATCCGAAATAACCTCAATCCGTAGGAATTTTACTTTTTTGACGGACTTTTGTACATTCCCGGGGGGGAACGCGCCACAGAAGAGCGAAGCGTGGTACACCGCAACAGATTAGACTTCCCAAGAGCGCACCCACTTTTCCCTGTCAAACATGCCTGTCGCACTCAACTGCCTCAGCGAAGAAGGCCGGCGGGCCCTGGAAGAAGGGAGCCCAGAGCCAGTGCTGCACAAAGCCACCGACATAGAATTCGTTTACAACAAGCTAAACCTTGGGGAAGGAAAATTATACATAATGGAAAAAAAGATCATTTGGGTCTCCACCCAAAATGAAGAGGAAAAAAAAAAAAAAATTACCAATTTTGCAGAAATTGCTAATAGCGCTAATTATTTGAAACACTACGAGAAGAACCGTGACTTCTACATGCATCTTCTCAATGACGTGAACAACGTCATCGTCGATTCGTCAAACATCGCCTTGCATGCAATCACATCGGATAAGAAGATTTGCGACAACTCATGTGTGTACATACAACTAAACTCTGATATCATTGGGGGGGGAGAAGACGACATGGACAGCATGGGAAACGAGGATGCAGCTGTGGCTGAGGAGGGCACAAACCATGTGGATAGCGGCGTAGATGACACTGGTGATGGCACAGATCAATTTCGCTGCGGGGTGGACCATGCTGAGGGAGAAGAAGCCCCTCAGCCACCTCGAGAAAAACTAGGCAAACGGTTATTTACAAAAATGTCAAAGCATCGGAGTGTCTTTAAAAAGAATGAGCAGGACCACCTAGGCGGGAAGGAAAATTCCGATGAGGAAAATGCCGACAATGAACCGATTGAAGAAAAAATAACTCCAGAGATCCTCCTGATTAGCAAAAATTATGTGACCAACGATGCCATTTTTCGCCAGCTGAGCAACATGGACCATTCGCCGGACGATGAGGATGACGAAGGTGAGGAAGAAGCGGCGGAGGAGGAGGAAGAGGAGGACGCTTGAGGGAAACGTAATCGAGTGGTAGACGTAACCGAGTTCCAGACGCTTCGAAGGAACGGTAAATGGATCAGCGAGCGGACAAGCGGGACAGCGGGGGGCAAGCCATGTCGCTAAAAAGTTGGAACCGCATTCGAATCGCTTCTTACATGGGTTGTCACGTTGGCATGTCGTCATGCCGACACCCCAGTGTTCTGCTCCATTTGCTCTATTTCCTATAAGGATAAATTATCACCGGACCATTCGGAAAAACCCTGCGTGCATGTGTAATCCTTCTTTCCCTTTTGTGCTTCCGCAGTTCCGGTTGTCTGCATGTGTGGCACTTAAGCTCGTCCCCCACTCTGAGATGCTCATTGGGAGTGACGTAAAAGTTAATTTGTTCTTCTCTTTGTGCGATTATTTTTTTACTTTTCCAAGACACTGCGGGAGCCTATGCTGTTTATTTTACTTTATTTTATTTTTTTTGTCATCTCGATTAACACATGCGTAATGGTCATTTCTTTAAGTAATGCTTTGTCCCCTGCGCGGGGAAGCAAAAAGAAGAAAAAATATATAATTAAATAAAAAGATATATCCCTCCATTTGGTAGTTCCCACAAGGGGGTCTCCTCCCTTTTGGAGCACTTCAATTCAAATGTGTTTTGCACCCACAGCAGGATTGCCCAAGTTGCCGTTTTTTCCTTTTTCCCCCGTTCTTTTCAACCCGCTTAACGTTCTCTACCTCAGGGGAACGGCACTCCGACAAGGAGATATCTCGCGAGGGACCGTTGTTTAAACGGTTCGAAGAATGGACCGAAGGAACAGAAAACGGGTCCCCCACTGGTGTGTCCAGATTTTTACTCTCTTAAACGGGATGAAACCCTTTCGGATGACGTGCCTTTTTTGGAGGGTACAGTTGAATCAACTCTGATGGTTGGTTAGTAAACACCCCCTCCTGCCTCTTCCCCGTAAGGGCTAAATGGCGTGCTTAAAAGAAAGTAATATTTCTCTTTTCACCGCATCGGTTATCTGTCCGTTCATGTGAAATGGACTAACTGTGCCGATCAGAGGGAGGAAGGGGCCATATACATTATCGCATCAAATGGGAAAAAGAGTTTCACGCGAAAATATCCCCTGATATATCTTTTTTACATGGCCACACTTCTGCGTGGAACCTGCGATGGTGTCACTGCCAACCTATATAATAAATGGAAAGGTAACCACGTGGAGAGGAGAAAAAGAA